TAAGGCATGATGTTTTATTTGCTTTTTAATTTTTGACAATCTAAATGAGAAACCTATGTAGGTAATTTTCTATGTGGTAATACTTTTAAAGTTATAAGTCAATAATCTACAAAAACTTTGTTATTTCCATGTAATGAGAAGGCAATCATATATCATGTTTCTTCCGATAGTATATGATCAGTCTAGTCAAGAATATGAGCATATATAAATATTTTTGTAAGTTTTTCATTGCTAATATCTAGCTTAGGAATATATCTTTATGTGTATCTGTACAATGCAAATATTCAACCTTAGTTTGCAGTTTCTTCAGAATGTAGAAAAACAAAAAATTCAAAGTCAGGGTTATATCTCAAAAAGTGTTACTATAATACACAGTAAATACTTTAAGTACTTGAATAATACAGAATAAAGGGTTTAGCCTTTACGTTTGAACACTGAAGAAGATAAGCATTTCACATACAATGTAGAAAGAATTTATTTTCAACAAAATGATTTGGGGCATTTTAAGAAACAAGTGGAAGAAAATGTGCTTCTTATCTTTTATTATCTATGTGAGACAAATGAAAGAAAATATTTATGACATCATCTCAAAGGAAAAATTCATCCCAGGAAGAGAGCAAAAGTAGAAGACTGAGAATATTAGATATAAATAGTGTGCATACAGGGAATTCTAATAAATATTTTAAGGAACTTTGCTGAATATCCGCCACCTCTATTGGCCTAAAGAAACAACAAAGTCTTCCTTATGCTATTTTTTCTCCACCTATTATAAAATATTTCCCATGTACAAGACACAGATATACTTAGACTTTCATTTTCAAACTCCCCTGAACCTTTGCTCAAGGGCTTGGTACTATTTTGAAATTTGTGTCTAATTTTCCCTTTGCATTACCGCACATTGTGCAGTAAATTGCACAATTCTGAAAGGTAAATCTTAATCAATTAAAATCTATGCGCACAACTCTACAACTGCAACTCTGCAGTCCCTACAACTGCAGTAGAGATTAATACAGAGACTATTTCTGACATCCCAGTAATCTGTAATAAGCCCTTCTAATCACTACCAAGCCGAAGGCAGACAGCCTTCTCCCTTCTATTGCTACAGAACGATGTCACCTGTTCTTAGAACACTTATAAATGTGTTCATACACCATATGATAGTTTTCATATCTGACTCTGTCATTCAACCACAGGAGTTTGAAATGCATTTGTGTTGTTGCATGTGTCTGAGCTTTATCCTTCTTTAAGGCCGCCTTATTTTGCATTGTGGGATTCCCCTACAAATATTTGTGTTCTAAACTTCAGGGGCACCAGTTGTTTCCAGTATGCAGCTATTTTTTAAAAAGGGCCCTTGGACATATTTGTACATATTGGTAGGTAAAGTCATTCAGTTTTGTTAGACATACACCAAGAGAAAGTTTTGGATCATAAGATAGGTACATGCTTAACTGTTGAAAATATTGTTGTTTTCTCTCAGAAGATGAAGTAATTTAACCCCCCTCAGTAGCTAGTGAGAGCCCCAGCTGTTGTGTACTTTCTTCAAAACCCCATTTCTGTCACTTTTTTTAAAAAAAAAAACTTACCTACTGAATTTGTGATGATACACCTCATTGTGATTTTAGTGTGTATTTTCCTAAAGACTGCCTGTGATTTCAAGCACCTTTTCATGTTTATTATCATTGCTTGGATAATCTCGATCTCATTTGTGAAGTGTCTGCTGGAGATCTTTAACCCATGTCAGCATTAACCTCATGTGCTTTACTTAGTGACTCACAGAAGTCTTTCCCTACTTATATTAAATAGAATCCTTTAAACATTTATTTTTGCAAATACCTTCTCACATTGTGCAAGGTCTCTTTTAACAACATTTCTTCTTGATAAAAGATTAAAAATCATTTTCTGTATTTATTTTCTTTTCTATAGTACATCTCTTAAAAAGCACATCCTGTATTAAGAATGCAAATAACTAAAACTAACTTTTGATCATCTGTTAATATATAAAAATATCAGTGACACAAGCATACCCATGTTTATAGCAGCACAACTCAGTAGCTAAATTTCAGAAACAGCTCATTTGCCCATCAACGGATGAATGGATGAAGAAGATGTGGTATTTACCCACAATGGAGTACTACTGTCCCCTAAGGAAGAATAAATACAAGTCATTTGTAGGAAAATAGATACAGCTTGAGACCATAATGTTGAGTAAAGTAAATCAGAGACACAAGTTTATATATCACATGGTTTCTTTTATATGAAAAATCCAGAATATAAATAAATACATTAAAGAGCAAAATAAAATATAATAGCAAACAGGGAGCTCGATCCTTAGCAACAGTGAAAGGGGCCAAGAGATGGAAGGAGGAGAGGAGGGAAGAGGAAGAGGATGGAAACAGCACTCAGATGAGGTGTGCACCAGGGCCAGGGCTCCCCACTGTGGTCATCCGTGCGTACTGTAACTGCATACTAACAAAAATCTTTATTTTCTTGCTTTTATTGTTGAGAATTACTTAATTGGATTCATTCTTTTTTATCTCATGGAAAAAAGGTCAAACAAAATTTTATAACAAAGTAATAAGAGAGTAACAATGGTTAATACATTGTACATTGCTATTTTTAAAATAGTAGCTCAGGGTACGAGATATGGGCATAAAGATTTCTCCACCCGATATTAGCACAGACCTTCCTTCTTAACGAACTAAGAGACACTCATTGTATAACTGACTTGCGTTTTTCCCCCTTTCCCTATGTCCTTTCCTCTTTCACCCATCCTAGTTCCTTTTTCCTTCTGAGCAATTTCTTCCCATTTCACAATATCTGTTGTACATTTTAGAACTTATTTACTCTTTCCAATTCACTTTTCCTGCTTGAAAAGTTTTCCTCCATCTCTCACCTTCCAACTTTTGTTTTGAGCTTAGAAAATCCTATTGCCTGTCCAATCAATGCCCAGTATGTATTCTTGTATGTATATTCTGAAATTTCCCTATGGTATGTGCCTTAGTTACTTTTTACTCATCGCTTGAGACAAAATACCTGAAGCCCAAGTTGGGAAAGGAAAGGTTTATTTCTTACAGTTTTTGGAGGTTTCAGTCTACACTCAGTTGGCTCCCAGGCAGGTGGGCATGCTGCTGCAAACAGCAAGCAGGAACCAGCAAAGAGCAAGACACACCTTCTTCCTGCCATTACATCACATCTGGCTCCACCCCTTTGTGGGTGGAGCACTGACACCATCAATCCAAGCACTAGACAATGAACCAATCACAAATGCACAATGCAAACTCATGAGGCCTGGGGTCATAGACATAAACCATGACAGTATGGCTTATTGGAAAATTACTTTTCTAAGTCCTTCTTAAAATATCTTATGTTTCCTAAGTCTGATGGTCAGCTTTATGAACTCTCATAAGTCCTCCTTTGAATACGGCCTCTCCTCTGCCTCCCATTTCTCTTTCAACTCCATCCACTCTAACACTAATTAAATAAAATTTATGTGTTCTTACATTCCTATCAATGTTAGCTAACATCTCTTATATTTTTGATGTTTTATCTTTCCTTATTGTAAGCTGCTGGATGATAACTGAAGATTTACGTCATCGACTTTTTTTGCTGTTTCTAATCTGGGCTTTAGGGTTTTAAAATTATCCTACTTGTTATCTCTAGTGTTTATGTTCATTTTTACTACATTGTAGTAAAAAAAAATGGCATAAAGTTCCCCCAGATTACCTTGATTTAAAACTGACCAAGATAGGAAGCATAAACCACATCCTACTGTAGACAGAGTTGCCTTGATCAGGGTGCTACTTCCAAGATATAAAGAATTCAAGGGCGATGGCCTTTGTCATCCTCCACTTAACTTAGCAGTTTTTCCTCTGCCAAATTATAAGAAGCGATATAATAAAACTGTCTGTATGATAACAACAGCAGTTGGCAGTGGATTTACCCAGGCAGTAACCTCAGTTGCAATTGCTGTGTTTTTCCCTAGACCGGATTTGCAAAGCCTGTCATGCCCCATGTGATCTCTAATCTGGAGAATGTGGAAGGAATCTGCGTTCTTCCTAATACCCACAAGAAAGGATCCAAAGCAGTGACTGTGTCAATTTCATCCCAAGATGATGATTGTTTGTGACCACAGAGTTCACCTAGAAATATCATGTTGGTCTACTATATGGAAGATATTATCTTAACATATTGTAAAGGAAGATGGATTCCCTGGGAGGATATATCCAATCCAAGTACAGTTAGGTAAACCTGACAAAGATTCAATATGTTGCCATTCCAACAACCTTTTCAGGGTTTCAATGATGTGGGAATGTCAGTCAGTGTATCTCTACCGAAATACAAGACAAGCTATCGTGCAGTCTGGGATCATGCTGAGTTGCTATAATACAAATGCCTTTGTCTGAATAATTTATAAACAATGCAAAAGAACTGCAAAGTACAGTTCTGGAAGCTGGGATGCTAGAGCTCGGATGCTGGTCAAGGGTTGCTCAGCTCAAAGATGGCATCTGTTGTTGAGTCCGCACATGGCATAAAGGGACTAGGGGCTCCCTTTGGCTTCATTTATGTGGATACTAACACTAATAATCACAGTGGAGTCCTCATGACCTACATTTGCTTTAGAGTCCATCCATTAATATCACTGCATTGGCTATTAGATATCGGTATCTATTAATTTGGGGAGGAGACCAACCTTAGACCATAGCTTGTATCCTGCCCCTCTTTCCATTAGAAGGATCTGCTCTACATGGCCATTTTGGGTTCTAGAAGAGTTCAGACCTCAGTGGAGTATACAGCTCTGAATCACACAGGAAGTGACATGCTAAGTGACATTTTTATAGGGCTCAGAACAGGAAGGGGTAGTACAGCAGGTCAAATCTGCAGTTAGAGCAAAATGGTATTCCTGCTGTGCTCTCTGGAAAACTCACAAGTTACCTATGATATGTGCTGCCTACAACCTTTAATAATCCCTCAAGGAAGCACTAGTACACAGCCCCCAGAGCATGCTCACAAAGTTTTGTCATAGGACTGCGCATCATTTTAAAGCACAGTCGCCATGCTGGTGGTCCTTAGGAGAGACTGAATATGTGGCACTGGGATACTGGGTCCTCACCATCTCTCTCAGTCCCATGAGTGAGAATCAGGGGTGGAGTAAGATAGAAGCACCACATTCGGGGCTGCAGTGGAGCAGACACAGATGATTCTGTGAACGGTGTGAACAAGTGGTGCAGATCCCAAAGTCACCAACCATGTCTACTTTCCCAAGTTTATGTTAATGAAGCCCAAGGTGAGCTTCTCTTTACACAGCCAGTAAGTAAACTAGATTGATTCATGGATGAGTCAACTTGGGGCGTTACTAGAGGCCTGAAACAGATCACTACTGCATGACAGCCCTTCTCAATGGTGGGCCTGAAGAACAGTGGTGCAGAGAAATCCTCCCACAGCATCAGGGGGTGTACCTAGGTGTGCACTTCACATGCACAGGAAAATGGCCAGGAGGGAGAATACACACACACACTGTTCGGCAAGTGGCTTCCAAATCAGATACCTAGAATGGGACAGATGAAAGATAAAGATATCTGGAGAAGAGGAGGTAATTCTGGAAAAGTGAACAGAAAGTGTGAAATTTTCATATAGTATGCTCACATGTCTCAGAGAACATTCGCAGCAGAGAAACACTCTGTGGTCAATTAAACAGCAAGACTCAGTCTACAGATACTGGCCAGCTTCTGCTCTTAGTCACCCAGGATCGGACTCATGAGCAGAACAACTGTAGTGCGAGATATCCAGATGAGTCCAAGGCAAATAGTGTGAATTCTTTCTCATGAAGACCGATCTGGCCCTTGTACTAGTTGGTGTTAAACTGGCTATCACAAAACCCGGTGTTAACCACTGTCTCCCTGCTGCAACATCTTCTTTTGAAGAGTGTTGACCACTGGTGGTCAAACTGTAACACTAAAGGTAAACTGACTTAGTGTGGTGCTGTGTGGACAGCCCACCTGAGAATTGTCAACAACATAGAAAGGAGAAGAGGAGAAGGTTCTCCTGGTACTGTTAGTTCTGGAGAAGTTTGTCATGCTGGCTTTCCTGATATGATCTTGGTTATTCTCATCATTTGAGGAACTCGGGACCTCATTGTCACTGAGGATGGCTGTGATACCTTTCCAGGGAACACTGGTCCTTACTTTGAGCTTTGCTTCTGGGCACAGACCGTTGATCCTGCTGGCACAAGTTTGCTAGCTTCCAATGCCGACCTGTGGGCCTTCCCAGTGTAGATCCATGAGATAGGCTTGCACGAATCATTGTCATGGGCTCTAGGCCTCCAGATGGACTCATGGGAGGCATTAACATAGGTCCTAGGTCTTCAGCTGGACTCATACAGGACACTCCTGTGGAATCCAGGCCTTCAGGAGGATTCTTTGGGTCCTAATGTGTAGATTTCCTGTAATCTTTTTTTTTCGTATTTGACTCTTCGGATAACTATCCTAAAATAATTCTATAAATTATGCGTGCTCCATTAAATTGTTATTCTTGCAAATCCTGACTAAAACGAAGAGATTGCCAAGTCATTTGGTAACAGCTCGCTACATTGGATTCCTTCCATCAAGAAAAGTTTATTGGAACTGACACATATCCTGGTATAGTTTACCTTTCCTATCTACCGAGCCTCTGCTGGCTCCACATTGGAGGGCTCACAGAATTTCTGTTCTTTGCCCATGAGATCCTGTGCAACATTACCTCAGACAAAATGACACAACCTAACACAGGGGCAGAAGAGCAGAGGGGTTCGCTCCTGGGATCCAGCAGTCCTATCAGAGAAGCTGGAGTTCAAACAGTTGTGTGTAAGTCCAGCTGAAGAACCAGTAAGGAATGCAGAGGAGCTAGGGATCGGACTGGGAAGACGCAGTTGGGCTCCTCACGGAACTGGGTTGTCTAACTTTTCTCGAATCCTGTGTTATTTCTTTTGATTTTCACACAGATTTCTCCTAAGAACACTCTTCCAATAAGCTATGAATGGAAGTCTCCACATTAGCCTTTGCTACTAGGGGACGTCATCAAGACAAGGATTGGATAAGTATTTGTTATCACACATGATTGGAAGTGAGAGAGGAAAAAAAACCTCAATGGAAAAAAAGATGCAGGTTCCCCAAAATAAGATTATTAACATTTCACTTATGAGGTAGGGAGATACATGTATATATGTTTGTCTTTTTCATAAAATTATAAGAGGTAAATGCAATTATTTAAGTAATTAATTTAAAAATTAGTTATAACAGATAAATTTAATGAAGATTTTATCCTTGCAAAGCTATGCAATTTCTATACATGTATTCATACATTTCTCATAATGTAACTACAATGTAAACTCTACTTTAATACCTGCCTTACATATTAAGGAATTTGATGCAAAAAGAGGCTGAAAAATTCCCTTAAGGCAACCAGATAGTAAGAAGACTCAGAATTCAGGCCTACGCAGCCTGGCCTGAACACTCATATTCTTAATTTTCATCATTTAATTCGCAAATACATATTCGAAACCAAATACACACCAGGCATAGCCATAATTATCCAAGCCCCCTGCATAAAATAAGAAAAAATCCTTGACAGAAAATATACTAGACATACAGAGTCTATGTTACGTGTTAGGCAGAATCAAGCATGGAGGAGCCTGAAACAGTAACACAAACTCCATTCCAGGCAGCAGAGGCAAAGAGTCTTCCTTCCCACAAACCTTACATGTTCTCTCCCATTTAGAAGTAACCGGGCTGCACATCTGCAAGTCACATTAACTGTCAACTTCGATCTGAGAGGAGCTTTCACAGTAAGGTCCTGGGGTGGAGAGTTTAGCCAGCCCATCGCAAAGAAGCACATCATTCTCTACATCTCACTTCCGTTCCACTCTCCTTTTCAAAGCTGCTGGACTGGGTGAAGAAGAGGGCAGCTCTATTGATTAACAGCAGCACTGTGAATCGATCTTGGCACCTAACTATGTAGCATGGCCACTCTCTGAATTTGGTCATTTCGACTGAACTCAAAATTGTAGGTCTGCAGGAGGCACAGAGGGCATAAAAATCTCCCTCTTAAGCAACTTTATCCTTAGTCATGAAAAATTGAGTTAAATTCTAGTTAAAGATCACTTGAACTTAATTGTCCTAAAAGATTCGTTATTTCACAGTTATACATGGCAGAGAACACAAACAAGAGAAAATTAGGAAATTCGTTTTCAACTTTCCAAAACCTTTCCCAGGTGAACATGAACCTTATTGTACTTTTGTTATCAAGAAAATTGGAACTACAGTAAATAAAAGGAGTTACACTATGTTAGAAATGTTATACACTGTTTTCAACTAAAGTCCTTGATTTACAATCAAAGAAATACACTGTCTTGATATTTTAATCAGAAAATTATACTCATCCAAAGTACAAATTGGTTTCTTTGGTTTAATTAAAAATACTAAGTATTCACTTTTATTTAAAAACAAAAAATTCCATGAGCCCAAAAGCACCTATGATGCAGTTTTCTAAAGTTTTTGGGTTGAGTTAGGATTCTCTGTGGTTTTTGAAAATCAAATGTGGGGACATAAATTTGGAGAAATTCTTGTCCTAGTGTACACGAACAAAGGAAAACAGAGAAAAGGGAAACCATCTCATAAAATTTCACAAATTGTAGATAACAAATATTACTACAACCAAATTTCTGACAATTGTTAAGGTAGTATAAATTAGGATTTATGGTTCCTTAACAAGAAATGGACATAACATAAAGGAAAGTAAACAAAATCAGCATATAAACATTATATGAGAGATCTGTAACTATGTTTTGTACTTAAAAGTTATTCCATGATTGACTGTCTTCAGAAAGAAATTCTTTAGCTCTAAATCATCACACAAGTTCTCCATGTAATTTAAAATAATTATGAGATCTAAGTCAGTTTTTGTGAAGGCTCTGATGTATGGACAAAGTCTAATTCTTGATGTTAAATTTCTATGTAATTTAAACCAGATAAGTGCTGTTTCTTAATTTTATGAGAAGCAAGAAATATTGTTGCTGTTTACTTAATAGATAATATGATAAATTATGAAAATGTGATTTCTCTTAAAGGGATTTTTACAGGTTGCACAAATATAAGTGTTATCATAATATTCACTAATCAAGAATCACTTTGCCTTTAGTCAACCAAATTTATTACCTCTTTTTACAATTCTCTTCCCTTTACTTTCCATCAAATATTATGATTAAACATTTTCCTACAAGTCTAATAAATATTCAAGTGAATTACAGTACATAAAATAATAAGATATATAATCAAAACTTTCAGTCATAAAATCTGAGTTTTAGAGGACAGAAGAAATAGGGAGAATTTCTATAATTCAGAAGGCTTTGGCTGACAAGAATTGAACACATCTATTTACAATGTATTTATGAAACAAACAGAAAATGTGAAGTCATATCCATTTCTACAGTTCTCAGGGAATCAGATAAGAAACATGGGTATTTTAAATCACTCTCAGACACAAGTATTTTTCCTCAAATTAGTTTTAACAAGAATGACAATGACAGTTGGCAACTGGGAAAGTGAATTCTAGAACCAAAATAAAAATATTTGATAAGCATTCATCTAATCTTAGATTGATTTTGCTTAGAAACTAAAGTATAAAATTATTTTTAACTACTCAAGTTGTGACAAAAAGAGTCACAAAACTGTGCACATTAAATGAATATAACCTAACTATGAAGAAATACAGACAGATTTTGGAGCAAAAGAATACACAATGAGAGCTCCATGTCATGGATTTTCTTTGTTTTTATCTATTAAAATCTTTGAAATGGTTTTCTCCTTGGCACTGGTCAGTCTGGGTCCTCCTGGAGTCCACTGGGGAGCAGTTGATAATCTCTCAGCTGGAAGCCTAGACTTCCATTATACCTCAACGTTTAAGTTCACTTCCCAAGTGGATTCCATCACTGCTTGGTATTTTTGATGTTTTTCATTTTTGAAGATTTCTGTAAGTAAAGGAAAAATCAGACAGGTAGATCAGAATATGTATTAGAAACTGCCAGGAAGGAAGCTGCCTGTTTTAAAACACTGTTTGCGAGACACTCACACGCATACAACCTTTTGAGAAGCGTGCAAGCAAAGTCAGAAGAACACCCAGCCCAAGTACAAGTAAAATTAAGAGATGGAATTCCTCAGCTACAAGGGTAGATATTTCTATAAAACAGGAGAGGATGCCTTAAAGTTGAAAAGCATTTGCTAGTTGACAAAACTTTTCTTTGCAGTTTGCTTATCTTGATAACAATTCTACTTTATGATAATGTATTCTAGGAAAATAAGGGCCCACTACGCCTGTGACCTGCCCAACATTCACCCAGCTAGCAAAGGACTGGAAAGGGTTTGATCTAATAATATTTGATAGTAGACTCAGCATTCCTTGACTAGATCAGTAGGAAAGATCACAAACCTAATGAGCTTTTGAGAACTACAGGAAAGGAGGTAGGTTAAACCGAAGGTAAAGCAATGTGTCTCAAGAATACTGTGGTCTAAATCTCCTAATTAACATATTCATTCATTAGACATTAACAGAACGTGCTAACAACTCTCAGCTGAAGTATGTAAGAGTCTGTCTGTCTTCAGATAAGGCACTTCATTTCTTCCAGTATGGCTCAACAAAGCATGAGAATGAGTGGTGTAAAGGCACACAGCCCTAACAGCCGTTAAGAGGTACAGAAAGCTGGAAACCTTTAGCACACTCTCATAGTTTGACTGCAGCAGAGATCTATTAAGTACTAGTTGCTTGGATCAAGACAGGCACCCTCTGTGGCTTCTGTTCCTGAATAGCATTAGTCAGGGACATATTCCTTTCCTTCTATTTAGTCATTGTCCCATCACTAAGCATAATACCTGGCACCCACAATTTATAGATGGAAAGGTGTATTTTGCCTCATGGATTCAGCCTATATTTGGCTGGCTCCAAGACAGAAGCAGGTTGGCAGAGATGCACACTGGAGGAAAAAGTATTCAAGGGAGCAGAGAGAGAAGGAGAAGATGAGACGAGAATCCACCTCACCAGGTCTGACATCAGGGACACCTCCAACCCAAGTCTCCCCCTAACAGTGTCCTCACTGTGAACTCATGGATGGAGGAAGCCACTGCTGACCATGGTGTTCCCACCCTCCAGTCGCCCTCCAAATGCATGGGATGCCTTCAGGAGACTTCAGATCCCTGAACTATTGTATCTTGCTTCTCCTTTCAGCTTTTCTTTTTGAGCCTTCTTCCTTCCCACATTTCTTCTCTTCCAATTTCCATCCCATCCTTATTCCTGTTCTTTCTTTTCTTTTCTTTCCTTTCTGCTTTAAATTCTTTTGCTTCTACTACTAGCTAGCTGTCTCACCTAAATTCAGTTCCCTAAATATAAGGACCTCTTTTCTTTACCTTTAAAAATAGCAATAGGGAAGGTTAATGATGCCTAAGGTACAGGGCTGTTCCAATGGTTAAATGAGTTAGCATAAAGATTAAGTAACATATACATAAAAAGAGCCTAAGACCTTCTGCCCCACTGTTAGCAATGTTTATAATGAATGTGAAACATAAAGACAAAATGTACACCTTAATGACTCCTGAGGTTCTCACAGCCTAGCTGGAAAAGAAAATCAGTGATGTCAACATAGGAGGAAACACAATAGTACCTTGGTTCATGAACTCAATTCATTTCATTTCAATGACTGTGGGGAAGTGGGCTGCACTTGTGTTTGCCTGGGGAAGATGGTCATGATTGTTTATTACCTGATGTGGAATTCAAGAACAGAAGCAAAATCTTGCCCAGCCCTTGTAGACTTAAATACAATTGGTCGGGAATGGAAGCATTCATGAACCAAGGTATTATTGTAGGTTTCTACATACACCCCTCATCCTGATGACCAGAACTGTCTTTTTGTGCATGGGAACATCTCCCATTGGAGCCAGCTAGAGGCTGGAGGAGGTCAGTGGCCTGCTGGGGGAGATAGCCAGCGCCTCCTGTGCTCTTGAATTTCATGACCTCGGATCATGAGCCACTGTCTCCAGCTGGTTCAGTTTCAGGTATTTCCTGCACCACCAGCAGTGATATGGCTGTCAACAGTAGAATTTGCATTGCAGATAAAAGAGCACAGAGTTTTTTTCAGGTAACAAGTCTTGACTGAATTCCTGCTGCTGTCACTGACTATCTTGAGTCTTTACCTGTGGAAAAAAGATAACAACCATATTTCTTCCTTTTGGTGCTGTTTTTCATGGGGTGGAGGATAAGGGAAAAACATAGCTATATCACAGTACAAAATGCCAAACCTGAAGACCTAAGACTGATTCCTGATTCTACATCTCACTGGCCACGTGTCCTGAGGAATCTCTGGATTCCATTTCCTTATCAGTGATGGAGTTTTGATAATAATAACTGAATCATTGAGTTGAGAAAATATCAAATGAAATAATGGAGCCAAAAGTGCTTTGTAAAACATGAAGTGCTTCAGAAATATGACCTGCTATTACCACATCTTATATTCACATAAAACTATTATAAGCCTATAGCAGGAAACTTCAATCTGTCATAGTGACAGTTATTAGTCCCACCGTCCCCTGTCAATAAGCTGATTTAAGACAGTACGTAGTCAAGCAGAAGAATGGGAAGCGAGGGAATTAGGATAATTATATTATCTCAGGATGAAATAATGGGATTTAAACTACGTTAATTTTAAAAGGGACTCCACAAATCACTTCATACTGCCCGAAACAGTCCTGCTGTAGGTGTGTTGTAAATAACATCCATGTTTTCTGGTGGACAGATCTAATGGATGGAGAAAAATATTTCACATTCAATAGAAATGCTGTTCTGTATTGCAAGCCTTTTCAAGAAAACTTAATGCGCACAGGAACTGGTGGTATTCAAGTTTTAAAATCCAAATGGTTTTAATCACTTTTATTTTGGGATTTTCATTTCTTTTGGAAATGGCACAAGTTTATTATGGACCTAATATTTCTTATGCTGAAATGACTATTCCTTGAACTAATCGTTTAGTTGATAAAATTAACTAAGGGATTTGGAGTCGTATGGACTCTGTTGACGGGATCAAGGCAAACATTTCACTGACAGAAAACCCAGCACAGAATGGCATTTAGCTTTACTTTTCTTCTCTAAAAAAAGTAAGGTAAAGAAGTATCCTTTGTTAGTCAGAGTACACACCATTGCAAAAATAATCTGTTATTCAGTTGACACAATGCAGTTATAAGCCTAAAATCATGTGAATAATTCCCTGAATGACAAGGTCAAGGTGAAAGGAAATCTCCATTTCCCCATAATTTAGAGAAGTCACATGCTGGTATATCTAAAACTGGTTTATATTCTCTAAAGCATTAATTTTAAGTCACAGCTGTTCACACCTCACTTTTCCTGTGGTGAAAGCCAGACTCCTAAATTTGCTCAATCTGATGTAGAATCATCAACCTGCCCCAAGCCTTCCACCCCCCTGAGGAAGTGGTTAGACTGGGGTTTCAGCCTGTTCTCTGCATCTCATGGACCTCTCCTGAGCCTGTTCACTTGGGCTGTCATCCTTGCTCACATGCATATACCAGCCTCTACTTTCCTTTTCTTAGCACCTTGGTAATTAACTTGCTGCCTGAGACTGAATGAATGATAGACATTCATAGCTGCTTCCATCCTTCTCATGTGCTGTCATGAGTCTCATAGTGATGCTCCTGACAACTTTTTATAAACAGAGAAGTGTTGATAGGTGCCTTCCATTATCTGCTAAGTATTGAATGGGAGTCAGAAGTTCATTTCTTTATTCAAGACCCATCAATTAAAGACCTATTGTGACCTCCTTGAATTTGAAAACAGAACAAGCTGGTTCTCATGATGTCCCTATACATGTGGACCAACAATCTAAATAGAGAAGGAAAGGCAGGCAGCCCAAGATAGTAGTCTTATACTTTTAAATAAGGGAATTAGGAAGGGGCACAAATAAGCTAGCAGCTGAAAGAAGAGCCAAGGAGACGAAGCCAAGAGCCGCAAGCCTCTGGGGAAGACTGTCCACGGTCCAGTCTGTGTGAGCCTTCAGGGCGCAGCAACTCTCAGGTTTGGAGGAAGGCTGGGAGTGCATGAGAGAAGAGGAGCAGCACTGGGAGAATGTGCGAAGAGAGAATTCATGGTGACTCAGGTTACAGGGCAGATGCTCAGGCTGCTGGGTTTGGAGAGCACAACAGAGGCTGAGAGCAGCGGGGAGTTCACACCACATTGACAGCAGTGAGAAGGAAGAGAGATGGTGGGATTTCAAAATCCATTGGAAGATAAAGCTTGCAGGGGTCCCTGATAGAAACCTGCAGGGAGGGAAAGCACGAGAACCATGGCTCACAATTGCTTTTCCAAGAACGTTCCCTGGTTTCCTGAGTCCCTTGTATCAGAATTGCCAGAGAAATGCATTGAAATGGATTCCTGGGATGCAGGAGAACCTCCGAGTCAAACTCACTGATGTAGAAACTAGTGAACTTTTTCTCTAAAGAGCTAGATTGCTGAGACAGGAGGATCACAAGTTCCAGCCTGGCTGGGACAAGAAAGTGACTTAGAGAGACAATGTCTCAAAAAAAGCAGAAGGTTGAAGATATAGCTCAGTGCCAAGGCCCGAGGTCCAAGCCCCAGTAACACACACACACACACACACACACACACACACACACACTCACACACACACTCAAGAGCTGGATAGTAAATACTTGTCATAATTTACCAATTTTGCAGGTAGAGCACTAAACCAGTTATATATAATGTGTAAATGAGGGAATATGGCCATTTTCCCATGAAACTTTGTACAGAGAGATTACACCTTCAGTGTTAAAAAATATTACTCTACTTTTTATATTTTAACCCCTTCAATGAAAACATAGAAAAAGAAGAAAAGAAAGCACATTTTTAGTTCCTGGGCTTTACAGAGTTGACCCACAGGCTGCTAACCCTACATGGAGAACAGATCCTAAAAGT